GCCACATCCCAATGCATGCCACATCCCAATGTGTGCCACATCCCAGTGCATGCCACACCCCAATATGTGCCATATCCCAGTGCATGCCACATCCCTATGTGTGACATATCCCAATGCATGTCCTGGGCTCTGTGGACTGGCAGCTTCGCCACCTTCAAAGAGTTAACTTCCCTCCAGATACTCTTCCCAGTGAAGTGACTTGAAACAGGGGCCAGCACACAGCAACAGAAAACAGGCTGGAGCAAACCATATGCTTCTGCACAAGAATAACAGCATCATTAAAATCCTGAACCAAGAACTCAAAGGAGCATTTGAAGACTACATAGCAGCAGGTCCTGAATCCTAACTATCAGCTTCTCTTCCCCTCAAATCCTTTGTATGGGCTGAATGTGAAAGCAGAATGTGTACTCAATCACAGCAACCCACTTCCTCCTCAAGTGACTCTCCAGATATGTGCTCACCTCAGGAGTGAGATGTAGCCTAAAACAGCAGGGAAACAAACAGGTGAAACAATAGAGAGAAAAGGAGTATGGGGGGAGAGGGAGCAAGGCAGACCCCAGTCACTGCTTAAACTTTGCTTATTTACAGCTTCAGCATACATATGAAGATCTATAGCACTTACACCCAAATAAATCCTCCCCTGGAGACAGGTGGCAGATATCCCCCTCCATTATTTACAGCCACTTCTCAGTGAAAACTGCAAGCTGTAAAATGCCCATACAGTGTTGGGGAGATTTATAGTCCTCCTGTATTTCACACACTGTCTTGCCCTGCTGTGTTGCCTTTGGGAAGACATGGCAAATGGACTCCAAGGTGTTTGACAAAGATGAAGACTCATTTATTACTTGATGCTTTGGAGAGAAATATTTGTACGCAGCAGCCTACACGGGTGGCAAAGGTTAATCCTCTCCTCTCCCGTCAATCCAGCTTTTCGTGGACAAGGGGAAAGCAATGTGTTGGCAGGGGAAGGAGTGAGGAAGGGGAGCAGCAGCAGCAGTGACCAGTGTCACCCTGCCTCCTTTAATAGGGCCAGAGGAGACTGGGGGACTTTACTCTGTCACTGACCCTTCACCAACCAAGTCTGATCTCAACTTTTTCTTTCACAGGTCTTGGTCCTACAGCAAGGGGACTGATGTCCTCACTTTTGAGCAGCAGATGAGATTTCCTCAATCCTGCTGTTGGAGGGCATGTTTGGCTTGCAGGTCAAAAGCATCCATGGCACCCAGCAACCCGAAATCCAGTCGTGACACACCTGATTGCCCCTGGCACAGTGGGGCACAGGACCAGAGGGGCTTTTGGCAAATTTGGCTTCAAAGGGGGTTTCAGAGCGTTTTCTCTCAGGTTGGGACTCCACAAATGCATCCCCTTGTCCTTCTCTGCTGGCAGGGCCAACATTTCTGCTCTCTCCTCTCTGAAGGTGAACCCTGGGAGTGGGGTTGAGGCAAAGAGCCAGCGTGGTGCCAGCAGGCTGCCTGCTCTGGATACAGACAAAGAGCTTCAATCTCCGGGGCAGTCGATAGAATGCTTTCCAGCAGCACTAAATTCTTGCAAAAACTCGAACATGAAAACATAAAAATAAAAACACGGTGTAAAAAACAAACAATAAAAATATAACACCAAATACATCACTTAACTAAAACCGCTTACCCAGTGGCTTTGATGTTAATGCATTGTCTGTAACAACGTGGCATTCCAGCTGAATACTAACCGGCTGCAGAGCCCAAGCCCAGCCTCACTCCAGAGGTTTCTGGTTTTACTACCCTGATTTCTGCAGTCAGCCTTCTCTCCTGGGGTTTATTAGGTCTCGTCCCCTGCCATGATCAACTAAGAGCTGTTTTCACTTTCCCTCCCCAGCGTTAATTAAAGCTGGGGTGGAGTAACCCACAGAAGACTCCTCAGAGGAGGGAGAGGAAAGCTGAGCCCAGCGCGACGACAGGGTTTGATCAGCGGAGAGCTGTGTTAACAAGAGCCTATGGATGTGAGTGGGATGAGCAGTCGGTGGGGAAGGCAGGAACAGATGGTACCCAACTACGTGCAGCATGGTTCCTGGGGTCTGCAGGATCTGCACAAGCTCCTGCTCGCTGCACAGGCTGCCTGGTGCTTGATGAGAGCAGCAGCCACAGCCTCTGCAGAGCCATGCTGAGCTGCTCCTGCACACGCAGCGTGGAGACAGCGCCGACAGGATCTCTGCTGCTCCAGCCCTTGCGTGCTGCTAGCATGGGCTCAGACAGAAATTACTGACCCCTCTTTGATGTCAGATTTTGGGGAGTTGCTGTGCAGACCTGATGCAAGTGTGGCAGCTCTGTGCAGATATTCAGCACCCAGGTGCAGGAGAAGGGCTGAGTGAAAGCCTGGCAGGAAGGGGGGTCTGCATCTGAGCTGTGGCACCTGGAGGCACAATTTCTGTTCCATACTTGAGGAGGTACCAGTTGCTCCAAAAGATTCTGGTCGCTTTGTTGATGGAGCACCTGGATTTCAGTCTCACCTGCTGTGTTCTCTTGCTGACTGCTGCTGCCAGACAGTGATGGAAGGGGGTGAGGGTGACCCTGAAAGGGTTAGTCAAGTGCCTGCACTGTAGGTGCAGTCATGGGGCGGGAACTGACACAGGAGACAAACTGGAGGGCTTAACCCTGGAGGCTTTCACTGTAGATGCTGTTCCAACTACAGTTAATAAAGCCAGTACCACAGGGTGATGGCCCTGGATGGCCCTGCCTCAGCTCACATTGCTTGCTGAGACAGCAATTGCCAAACAGACAGCTGGGGACAGCTTCCATCCAGAGCCTGTAAATCCACACCCTGAGCTGCTCCAGCCACATTCTGTCCTTGGATTTCAACAGGTGGAGTCACATGGAGCAAAGTGATCCAAGTTTTCCATTCCTGCAAGGTCATGGTGACCACTCTCTCTTCAAAGGAAAGCATCCCATCTGTTCATGGCTGCTTCATGCTGCAGAAGGCAGGTGGTCTCTCTTCTGTCCCTGGCTTAGCTAACATTTACTTCCACACCCAATCTTCTTCCAAAACACATTTTTGTTCTCTAAGATAAATCCTGAGGCAAGCATCAAGCACATCTGTTGCTATGCTCTGTGTCTGGCCCTGGAGCTTCTCCCTGGTCCACTTCCCTGCTGCTGGAAGGAGCAAATGTCCTCTGCTTCTCCAGCCTCCTGCCCTTTTCCTGCCTTGGTACAGACAGAGGTGCTGGGGCTCAGGGTAAGAAGCCAGAGATATGCTTGCAGTCTGTAATCACACAGCAGAGGTTAAGAGCAAGGCTGTGGCTGTCACATTTGTTGGCAGCACTGTGGCCTCTTCCTGGCTCTTTTGGGTTTGGATGTCCAGCATAGATGGACAGTGGGAAGAAGGTAGCACTGGTTAGCTGAGGCAAAGAAATTCTGTTCTGAGTCAGTGGAGAAAGTGTCCAACTTGACTTAAAGTGAGAAAGGAAGATAAGAAGCTGCTGAGGAAGCTGAATATTACCTACAGACCTGAGAGTCTGCCCTTCTTTAATTTTTTTTGGCAAATTATTCATCACTGTGAGGTGTTATTTTGCCTTGCTTTAACTGAGCTCTTGGCCTCAGGTGACCCAACCTGCAGCAAGGTTCTCTCCCACATTACTACACAGCATGCTTGAAAAGCTGTGCAGGATCCTTCTGCTCCTCCAGGCATCCTGAGCTGTTTGGTGATGTTGCTGCCTGACAGCAAGGGATATGATGGGGAATCAGAAGGAGGAGAAATGTCTCCCAGTGAGGACTGATGAGTAGGTGGATTCCTCCTGTAAATGACTCTACTCACCTACGAGCTGGCATCAGGGATTAGGAGAGGTGTGATGGTACTTCTGCCCCTCTCCCCCAGCCCTGGATCCAGCTCTGCTTCCCTCAGCATCTCCTGGGCTTGCAGCCCTGCTCCACAGCCCAGTGCCTCCCACACCTGCAGAACAAGGAGATGCCCATCTCCCCCTGCTCTCTCCTGCTCCCTGCTCCCATCACAAGTCTCAGGGAAGCATGATGCTCTGTGGGGGGCTCCAGCTTGTCTTGTCATGCACTCTGCTGTGTCGTGCATTGGAAGCACTGCCTAGTGTTAATTAAAGCTTTGAGGACCCAAGTCAGGCAGAAAAGAGGACAAAATGCTAAGAACAGCTAATTTCTTAAGCTGCCCTCTGGCACCTTTTGAAACTTACCTCATGTAGCAAATTAAAAATGCTAATAGATGGCCAATAAAAAAAAAACCAAATCCTTTCTTCTCTGTAATTTCAGTGAGATGAGTGGTTCTGTGCATCAATTAGTGGTGGGAAATGAGATTTTCTTCACTGGAGAAGGGCTGGGCCGAACACACAAACTCACAGGCTGGCTTCTGAAAGGGTTCAGTCCCCTGAATGTCCTCAGCAAGGGCACATGGGGCCATACTGAGCTGCCCCTCTCACTTGTATAGTTCTTACAGACTCATTACTCCTCCTTGCCTTTTGTCTCAAAGCAGACTGTAAGTCTGGAGACTCAAATGGAACAAGCACTGCCCCTTGTTTTTCAGAGAGCTCCATCTCATCTGGGTACTGATTTTACATCAGTAATTAACACAAAATTACAGCAGGCACTCCCCTTGTAGTGCCTGAGGTTGTCTTTGCAGAGATGCTATCTACACCCCCATGGCTGCAGCAACCTCAGCTTGTGCTCAGCTGGGATCGCAGCACCTCTAAGAGTTTAGAGAGAAACCGGTCCCTGAAGGCCTTGCAGATCCTGGGCACAAGGCATGGGAAAACCTGCCTTCTCCATCCTCCACCCTCTGTCACTACAGGGCTGCAAACTGAAAATATAGATTCCCTTTTTTTCTTATGGTCAGAGGTTTGAGTATCAAACAAGCACTGCACTAGCCAAGAGCTTTGGAGGAAGGATTTTTGATATTGATGAATACTGAATAGTTTGTCCAAAGCAGGACAGCCGCCAGGACTGAAATGGTAGTGGACACCAGCTGAAAACCTTGTCCCATGTGTATCTGCACAGGACACAAGTGAGGCAGAGACAGAACTAGAGTTTGACACTCTCAATAGACTGGAAACATCAGGATGACTGGAAAACATATGAAAAAGCCTGCAGTGCTTTAGATCTTCTGTGCTATGCATAGATACTCTGTGATTGCTCCTGGGGCACAAACACGGACTTTAGCCTGGAGAAGGCAAGGCTCCAAGGAGGCCTTAGAGCGCCTTCCAGTAGCCAAACAGGCTAAAGAGAGCTGGAGAGGGACTTTTTACAAGGGCATGTAGTGAAAGGACAAGGGGGAATGGCTTTAAACTGACCAAGGACAGGTTTAAATTCTACATTAGGAAGAAATTGCTTACTGTGAGATAGTGAGATGCTGGGACTAGTTGTCCTGAAAAGTCATGGATACCCCATCCCTGGAAATATTGAAAGCCAGGCTGGATGGGGCTTTAAGCAACCTGACAGTGGAAAATGTCCCTGCCCGTGGCAGGGGGCTGGAACAAAATGATCTTTAAGGTCCCTGCCAATCCAAACCATTCTGTGATTCTATGACCGTGCTATTTCTACTGAGCAGCATGAGCTGATTCCCTTCTTGTGCTGATCTTTACACCCTTTCATTGTCATCTCCCATTTGTCTTTTTCCAGAAATACCTACCTGTGATCTACATTTTTGAGGCCTTGGCCCAAGACGAGCACTCAGTTAAATGTACAGTCCCAGCATATTGATTTTACAGATCAGCTGGAACACCTGGGAGGTAAAAAGTCCAGGGAGCTTGAAGGAGGTCATGGACAGCATCACAGTCACACAATTTGGCCTATATCCAGTGGCTCGGCACTTAAAAGCTTTCAGCCAACTAAAAGCAGTCTTGGAGCACCAGGAAGGTCTGAATAATAACTCTTGAGCATGGTTAATGAAACTTCTGTGTTTGACATATTTCAGCCACATCATGTCTCCCTTCTGCTTCTGCCCTCCCAACTCTGCAGTGGAGCAGATGAGAAGGAGCGAGAGAATTGCAAGCAGACGCTTCTACTTTCCTTTTGGAATTGCCTTGACTTTTGACTCCCTCAAGGGCCACACGAGTTTGTTGCACAGCAGGCCCAGCCAAACGAACATCGACACCTTTGTAATTGCTCTGGGCAAGCCTAGGTTGCTGAGGGTGGAGGAGGAGAGGGTGGTATGTCCCCAGGGCTCCATGACCTCATCCTTCCTCTGTCACAGCAGAAGCACAGGGAGCAGGGAGAAAAGGCAGCACTGGAGAAGGAGAGGAGCAGTTTCCAAGCAGGGTTTTGAGCTCAGGTTTCACACACCAGGTTCTTCATGGCATTCCAAGGCTGTTATGGCCATGGAGTTTCTCTTGTTCCTCCTGTGGGGCAAAGTGAACAGAAGGGTCCCAGCTGGGTGCAGGCAGACTCCCAGTCACCAGTTCCCAGGATACAGTGAAGGAAAGGACTTAGCTGTGCAGATTTGGGGTGTTGAGTTTTTCCTCTCCTCACAGCCAAAACACGGGACAAACTTCTCTGTACTTGAAAAACCTACACGTTCAGTGCATCACTGCAAACACAACCCAAGGGCAAGTCTCCATTGAGAGCAAGGCCAGCTTCCACCTCTGGGGTGATGCTACAGAGAATTTTCTCACTATTTTTTGCAGCTCTTTGGCAAACATGTTTCAGGATCACCTCTAGCTCCTTTACACTCACAGGAACATAGCAAAGAAAGAAGGGCAGATCTATAGCTGCAGCTTGTCTCAGTAGAATAGAGAGAGAAAAAACAGCACAAGTTTGCAGGACCTTGGTGATCAATATGTCAGCAAATTGGGACTGGATGGTGATGGTACTTGCCAGCACTGAAGAGAAGTTTCATTTGCTGTTTTTCAATGAATGGTTGGAAATTTTCTAAACACACAGTGTCACCATGGTTTGTTTTTTTCTTTTTTATTGAAGATTCACCTTCACTTCTGG